GCCTTAAAAGCAAGCAGTTTTTAAATTTTTAATAATTGTATGAAACTTTTGAAATGTTAAGGTCTTTTTTAATAAAGGTTACTTTATAAAGTCTGTGGCATTTCGAATCCTTCGCTTCTTTATTGCATTTATGAAGAATTGCTTACCTACGCACATCAGTAAAATGTGCGTTGGAACAATTTGTGATGATGATGGCCATATGAGATACTTTAGTAATTTATGTTAGTTTGTGACTTAGTGGCAAGAGCTTTGGCATTGCAACCACAAGGCTCATTTCCAGTTCCGAACAACCTGATATCAAGCGGTAGTGATCAGTTTTTACTTGACAATACAGATCTAAATACGATATCATGTAAAACGCTCTTCAGGGTATTGCTACGATATCAAAATTAGCATGGACGGCTATTTGGGTTGTCTCTAATAGCATTTAGAAGTAAATAAATATATATCTTAATTAGCAAGGACAATTGTTGGATCACGTTCTATTGTTGTTCGTTAAAGAAATAATCCTAGAATAAGCCTTTTCACAACAAAAACCACATATGCATATTTTATATGCAATATTAATTTTGATGAGTTTGGAAATCATATGGAGGATTATGGGATTTTTGAGCCTTTTTTGCCTTGGCGATACGTGGTGATCTAAAATTTAATGAAAATATCTTTGTTCAGATATTTCAGTTTGTTTTGCAACATGTTAAATAGTAGCTGCAGTAAGACTATTCATTTCTATGGAAGCATATCAATAGTTACGGCATTAGTTCCTGTTTCTAATACATTCAAAACTATAATTCAGGTATACATTTACCTGATAATATAATAGCTTTAGATTGCTTGCTTCAAAGATATATCGTTACATGTACAGTATTCACTTCTGCCGTTTCCTGATCTCGTACTTAACGTGAAATAATAAATTAGCTTCGTCGTTTCTGTAAATAAGGCTATGCCATACTAAACCTTCAGATTTCTAAGAAGATTCAGTTTTGATACCTGCCTCGGACAGCCAAGTGTCAACATATGGTGACATCAGTTTTTACTTGGAAATATAGATGCAAATATGTTTTCAAGTGAAAATAGTACCAGCACTGCTGTAATAATGAAAATCAAATGGAGAAAAGGCAACCAAAATAGACATTGCAACATCAGGTTGCATCTTAAGTTAAAAGTTCAATAAGATGTTATTACGTGCAATGATTTTTTATAATTAAGGTAAAAATTATTATAATGGTTTATGATGTGACGTCGTCCTAACACTATGCGTAACTTCTACATGGGTTGATATATCTCATTAGCGCTTGAGTTAAAATGCGACTAACAAGCGTTTGTGTAATTGCGTACCTTTTCTATCTAAATTTCAATAGATTTTGTATGCAAAATACAAAACAGCAACGCATGTAATTACGGCTATAGTAATCTTCTCAATGATCAAATACGTAATTCTTCTTACTTGAACAAATGATATAATGCCTTACAGAATTTCTTTATACTCTTTTCATATTTGGACTTTCTTCGAGAAGCTTTTGTTAGATTAGTAATGAAAAAATTTCTAAATGTGATAATAATACATATTAAATAAAAGTTATGTTTATAATATGAATTTCATTATAAAACAAAACTAGTTGGTATAGGCATTTTGCCTTGAGGCAAGTTACATGAACTTTCCGATACGTGTAAATAATCAACTTAATCAATAAACAATAAATTAATTTATGAGTGATTAAGTATTCTGAGTGGATTTATTACACATAATTGAAAACAAACGAACACGTTAACTCGATTTAAGTATTTCAAAAAACATTCGACTTGTACTGATAAGGAGACGTGCTGATTAGTTTGGCTAAGGTAGGTCTAGCCGTTTCGGAGATACGAGGCAAAAAGTGCCAAAAATAGTATTTTATTTTTTTAAATAACGGAGCGTCCGATTTAAATAATTCAGAAAATGTTTTACTTGTTTTGACAAAATGAACAACTGGTAAATTTTGTAAAAGCAAATCCAACGTAATCCAACGAAAAAGTAAAAAATAATGCCATTTGGCGGTAAAAATGATCAGAAGACATATGTACATCGAATTATCAAATATTTTATAAAGATTATAATAATGAGTACAAATTTTGTGTACATTTATGTGGGTTGGCGGCGCTCACGCGCTTTGATATTTCAGCTTAAGTATCTACGCAGCGCGATTGTTTTAAAAAAATGTTCAAGATTTTCAAAAAAAAAACAAATACGAAGAAATAAGATTTTTAAAAAAAGTCAATTTTTTCCAAAAATTTTTCAAGAATCGAATTTTTCAGTTTTGAACGTTACAGTAATCACAAAAAAATGAAATTTTTCATATATCTTTACGTTTCAACACCTTCTGCATATTTTGGTCTACCTTAGAAAAAATGAATGTGTACTATTCGCACAATTGCTTTGAAAAAAATTCAAAATTCTCAAAATATAAAAAAATGTGATTTTTCAAAATTGTAATATTTTCAAAAAATTTAAAAATTTCAAAAATCTATTTTTATCAGATTTGAAATATTTTTAAAGCTTTTTCTAAAATTTTAATTTTTGGTACGGGGAGTTAAAGCAATTTACCTTAAGCCGCGATGCAATGCACCACTAGTATAAATATACGAAGATATGAGATATATAAATAAAACCATAGACTACCCTATAATTTTTCTGTGCTTGGTTGGAATTAAACAAAATTTAATTTAAAAAAATCAGTTTTCATGAAATCGTCGACGAAAATTTGCATCCGCAAACACACACAGACTCACACATCAATTTTGTCTAAAGTATGTCAAAATATTCAGAAACCTTTGAAACGTAAAGATATATGAAAATTTTCATTTTCGATTTATTTGTGATTGCTATAACTTACCCTACGGAAAGTTAGAAAAAATCGTGAGATATACTTTTTGTCCACATGATTGAAGAAATATAGACATTAATAACTTATCAATGCTCGTAGACGTAATAGTTATTGCATTACCAGATTACCACCATATTACCACCAGGCAAGTAACCGGTAACCGGCAGCAGGAGCAGTCGCAGTCGTGCTTTATCATCTCTCGGTTCGAGTTTAGTGGAGAGACGGGACATAGCATAACTTCGGCCGAAAAAGAAAGTGCGCATTTGTAACGGCAACGAAATTCAATTTCAGTCATCGACTAACAGTCCTCGAGGACTTATCTTGTGCTCGAATCGAAATCGAAAAACATTTGTAGTGAAATTTAAATTCCTATAGATGATAACACCGACGGTACAGTTGATAATTAAACATATTCTGTTTAAATTTGAAAAATTAAAATAATTTTGAAAATTGATAAATGTTGGTAAAGTTTAAGCCTAGGTACGGCTGGAGGTCTTCTTGAGACCTCGAAGAATAATAAAACATTCATCTTTAAAGTTGGAAATAATATAGATAATATTTCATCTTAGGATCTGGAACATATCAATTTATTTAATAAAATATAAAATGCATTTTAATATTTAATCAAAATAAAATACTCATATGTTGTTAATTGAAATAAAAAATTAATTTATACAGTAATTAAAATAGTCTAACCATTAAGCTTTAACCATCATAATTCAAAATTTTTAAATAAGATAATCAAAATCGATAAATTTCAATCTACTTAAACTTTTATAAATTCAAGTGTTTGTGCAAATGTATTAAACCTCCTCCATATGCTTTTCCCTGTGATAATCGGATTCCTACTAGTGACTAGTAGTTCATCTCTACTAGACGACCACAAAACAAATGACACCAAAAATGATATAGAATACGATTTTGCCAAAAATAATTTTTCCGAAAATGTGTCCTTCGACGAATACGATGATTTAATCCTAAACAACACAATTCCCAAATACAATATCACCGGAGTGGATGACTACCTGAAAATCATCGATGTGTCCAAATTGTCTAAGAGATTTCCAAATTTTGCTCCGTTGGTGGGCAAAAGTTGCAGGAATGATTTGGCGAAATTTATCAGAGGATTGTATGAACATAAAATATGGGCTGTGAAAAGTAAGTTATAAAATAAGTTATAAAATATAATAGTAAATGGTCATGTCATTTATTATTAATGTTTTTACGTCATATGTTTGATATAATCTAATCGTAGTAGACGGAGTGTGTCAGTAGTAAAAATTAACATATTCACGAATCATTAATTTAAAGAAACGATATAATTTTTTTATGATTTTTAAAAAAATTATGTGTGAATTATTATTTATCCGTATCAATCGATTGGAGATTGCTATTTCTGAGTAAGTAAATGTGGAATATGTATCGTAGATTATGGAAATATATGCCTGATTTAAATATTCAAAGCTCTTTCTAGAGCTTTAGCTATTTTTCGGAAGTGGTTCTTTTATTGTATCTTATATATCATAGAATTTTGATTTATTTGTTTTTAAATACTATCACCCGCACAAAGTTAATGTAAATCCATAAATTATTAATATTTTGTGAGATTCTAGTATTATTTATATCAGAATATTTTAAATAATTATATCTTTGTGTAACAATATATAACTAATTAATCAGAAAAACCTTTATAAAACCCTTTAAGTAAGATTTCACGTTAATGCGTGATTTCTCAAGAATTTTGGCAAAAAAATAAATTTTCTTTGATACATTGAATTTTTTTGATACATTTTTAATAAAGTTATCATGGCCCATATAAATATTTTTCTGATGTTATCGTGGCGATTAATGTGATAATCAAGATCTCATAATATGAATTAAACAGAAAATGAAATATTAAAAAAATATACAAAAAACGATGATAAACAAGCAAAATTACATATAAAATCTATTTTTGTTTTTTAATAATCTTAATATACTTAATATACTATTAAGTTATTAAATAGTGCATTTAGGATATTATAAATTCATTCATTTGCTCTATGATCAATTTGAAATATATTTATCATTATGCTAATTTTGAGGAGTACGACCTAGTGAAAAGTCAAATGTATTCCTCGAAATTAGCATAATGATAAATATATCTCAAATTGATTATAGAAAAAAATAAATGAGTTTATAATATTTTAAAGGCACTATATAATAACTTAATAATAAATTCATATTTTTTCTATAACCTAGGCATTATGAATGAATTTTAAATTGATTAACTAGAACATTCAAAATTTAATATTAATTAAGCTATTAATTTATTTATAATAATATTTATATCGATTTATTAATAGCATCGCTTGTGAAAGATCCAATGAGGAAACTAATTATATTTTGACTACAGTAGTTGATCGACAATATAACTAATACTTATAACATTATTTATTTATAGAAGTTCATTTATAGTTATAAACAATATAATAGTTTATAAATCCAAATGCTTTAAAAGTGTCTCGAAAGAAAAACTAACAAACTAATCTATTAATTTATTATTAAATTTAATTATTTAAGGCAAAGCGACTTCTCATTGGATATAAAATCATTGGATATCAAATCATTGGATATAAATCATGGATAATAAAAATTTAAAATATCTTATTTGTTAATTAATTATAAAATATTATTTTATGAAATTATATAATAAAAGTTTGTAACATACTGTTATTTAGAGGGCATTAATAAAGACTTAATTTTTTTTAAATTTTTAATGTACCAAATCAAATTTTGATTATAATTATATTATAAAAGGGGACAACAAGATGGCATTACCTAAATATTGGTTTAATATTCACAACTTTTGGTTAAAAATTTGGAATTGATACCCTGTAACTGAAACTGAATCCATGTAAATAAATTTGTTCAATGTAAGTTACATATGACTAAAAGCTGTTAATCTTGCATCATTTTTGTTAATAATATAAAATTTATATTGCTTATAATAATATTATTATTTATTATCTGAATTAATTAATATTTTAAATTTATATTTTGGATTTTACTTTTATTTTTTATACTATTTAATTTTACCGATAGAAATGCATACAAAGATTGATAAAAAATAAAACATCTAAAAAGAACTCCTGTGGGATCTTCTTCCTTTACTATATGAAATAATGAAATTCACATTAAAATTAAAAGTTAAGTTAAACTATTATTATTATTACTACATACTTGAGAACCGATTATTTTTTAGTTTTATTATATAAAATATATAAGTTACTGTTGAATGTAAAAAAGGCAATGATAGCCAGCATTAGAAAAAAACTGATAGTTCTGGAAAATTCTGTTATATGTTCGTTAGAAATGTATTTACTTTAATGTTCCTCTTTTTAAGATATTGCATGTACCACGTTTGTAATCCATTACGCAATTGAAAAGATATCAAGTTAATTATACATCAATTTCTTCGAATCAAGAGTGTAATACTTTTGAGCTCGTTGACTTTTACTTTTTGTAAGGCGTTTATGTTACGCGAATATATATTCATTCTTTCACATTGTTTTTATAATAATTACATAAATTATTTAATAAGACGCGATTATGAATTAGATAACATCGCATTTTGTTTTGTTCTAGATTTAACGCCAATCTAAATTGGTTATCATGTCAAGTAATAAAATAATTGATGATAATGGTAATAAAAATTAGAAGATTATTTCTAAACGAATGTTATGGAAGTGTACTGATTTTAATATATATTTTCAGATATGAAATTAATTAGATTATAATTAAAAAAATATAAATCAGTACTTTCTAACGTGATGGCAAATTCAAAAATGGACTCAACATGACTTTAACCCTTTTTTGGTAATAAAAATTAGAAGATTTTTTCTAAAGGAATGTTCTGGAATTGTACTGGTTTTAATATATATTTTCAGATATGTAACTAGATTAAAATTTAAAAAATATAAACCAGTACTTTCTAATGTGGTGGCAAATTCAAAAATTGCCTCAACATGACTTTAACCCTTTTTTGGTTCACTTAAACGTAAAAATTGATATTAACGAAAAAAATAAAAAATGATAATTCTTAGAACTTATCTTATATATAAAACTTGTCACTTATATTAAAGAACAATAAAAATATTTTTAAAGGCATGTATGAGAGCGTTAGAAATGTTTAAGTGACTCTTGTTCATTATAAGTTATAAATAAGCTAAATTTATTTTGGCAATTTAGCAAATAAAAAATAAAGTTCCTAATCAAAAATTGTGTATATATATATATATATATATATATATATATATATATATATATATATATATATATATATATTGCGTTGTAACCTTGATCAGTGTCTATAATGCACCGTTATTAATAACATAAAATATAGGAGGGCAATATGTGCTCCTTCAATTTCTCGTTTATTAATATAATGGTATATTATTATTTTACACAAATTTAATGTTTAAGCAATTTTACATCATAATTAATTTTTTCTGTTGTTTTTCCTGGTTTGGTATGTATAATTTCCTCCTTTTTATATAAAAATATTTATTTATTCGTCTACATTAATGTGGTCCCCTTCAAAGTAGTCCCCCCCAGATATAATACACTTATGCCAGCGTTTTTTCCAATTTTCGAAGCACCCTTGATATTCACTTTTTGATATGTCCTTGAGCACTCTCGGCGATTTTCTTCAATCGAGGAAAACCGCCGTTCTTTCATGGGTCTCTTCAACTTTGGGAATAGGAAAAAGTCACACGGAGCCATATCTGGTGAATTTTTGCACTTTGCAACACTTTATTTCATTTTTTACGCAAAATTTAATACAAATTCTTTGACTTTTTCAATTCTTCCATTGTAAAAATCGCCGAGCTCAGAAAAACACGTCGAACCTTAGCGACTACCACAGACAAAGTAAACAGTGAATATAGCTGAAAATTCATCATACTTTAGGGGCATGTATACCAACACAATAAAAAAAAATTTTGACAATCAGACACTCCAGACCCGCGAAATTTAATTATTAGTAATTCCGGGTACTTTTTGAACAGACATCGTATATATACATGTATATATATCATGTATTTATCATCAACTTTGTATTTATGTTATATGTTTTTTAGATTACTGAAGATGACACCCATCAAGTGTCGAAACGTTTTATGGAATAAATAATTTTTTTATTTAATCTTTTTTTAATTCGACGATTGGGCTGCAAAAATATTACAAAAGTGATTTCCTCCTTTGTATTACACAATTTTTTATTAATAATGATATCTTTACTATTGACGATTTTTACAAGTACTTTCAGTATTTATTATAAATACATATAAGGTGCATTCAGATTTCGACGTCTTAGTAAATTTGTTTTATAAATTATTGGTTTTGTTAAATGTGAGTTTGAATAGCGGTAAAAAATTAAGCTGCTTTCTACTAATATTTTGAGAACACATATCATTTGCACTCCATGTTTTCTTTTTTCGAGTCATAAACGTTATTTGGAAGTGAACATAGAAGATAAATCTAATCAATAATTTTACAGAAGAAATTGATAAACAATTTAAAATGGTACATTCACTAAATATTATAATTAAAAATGTCTTGGGATATAGATGTTCACTATAGTAAGAACATAGGAAGACTAATAAATTAATAATTCATTTTTCTAACCACACAGGCAGAAGAATCATTATCAATTATACATAAACATAAGAAAAAACAATTCTCAAGGTTTAATGTTTTTAAAATATATACAAAAAAAACATTTAGTAATTATGAATGAAAATATGTAATGTTATGACCAAAATAGAGTTTACCCATTGGTATCTCTTTTTGTGTTGCACAAGAAAAAATAAACAAAGAATTGTTTAGGAAAATGAATTCATAATTTCACTGTGTATTTAATTTAAAGTGCAATATAGAAAACCACTGGAAAAAATTTATCATAAGCCACTACAAACCCAAAGATGATTTAAATACTAAATTATTAATTCAAATGTCAAAATACATAATAATAATTGATTTATTCCAAGCTCTATTATATATATATATATATATTGTTTGCGGTCTTTATTGTTTTAAATATATTGTATCGATAGTGATATTATGACGTAGATAATACAACATAATTTTGTTATGTTTTTTTTTTTAGTTTTATTAGT